AGGGTCAAAATTGACAAGATTGGCTTATACGAAGTAACACAGTATTTAGGCCTATATCAAAGTTTATTCTAAGGATTCAGTGGAGAAAAGTCTGATTTATTGCTCAAAAGGTGTTATGAAGTTGAGTGAACTTTTCTTACTTTTGAGACTGTTGTAGTTGTGATACAATGATTAAAAAAAAAAAATTTAAGTGTCCCGTTAATAGGGGTTATTTGACCATTTGGCAAACCCAGAAAGTATCCCCTTAGTGTTAAAAAATATATTTCCCCTTGTTTCGCGGAAAAGTGTCCCCTTAATAGGGGTGTCATTGACTAGGAATAGGGTGTTCCAAAGGAGGGGTTCTACTGTAGTTCCATGTCACAGAACTGAAATTAGATAATGACCTACAGTAGGAAAGTGATTGCACATTAGTCTAAATTGACTTTTACCTACAAGTTAGTCATACTTGGTACTTGGTACTTGTTTTTTTCACTCCAAAATACACCATAGTGGATTTAAGCAGGAGGTAAGGTGATAGAGTTGTCACTTAATCGTTGGCAATAGCGCGTAGTTAGGTTGGAAACTAAAACAATTTACACTGGAATTAGGGTTAAAGCTTATGTTGATGACATTCGGCTGCAAGACATTAACAGTGTTGGCCCCCTGTTCACACTTCGGTAATCAAATAGAAGGATATAGAATTACGGAACCAATAGGCTAGGAAGCTTCTGACAATTACCCTCTCCATTATTTAAGTAAAGGGGAACTGGCATGTAGAGAAATGGAGGTGCCCTCAGAAAGCTTTCACACCTTCCCAATCTTCAATATTATAACACATTTGACTATATAGTATTATATTACAGATTAACAACTGACAGACTAACAACTGACTTAATGCAACATTTTCACTCATTTCCATAACTAATGTAAAAGTAATGTATAATCAATAAGATATGCATAATCAGTTGTCAATGACAAATTAAAAACTTACAAGGTTAAAAACATTTTGAAGACATCATGAATAAAAAAAAAAAAACCTTAAGGGGATAAAAAGTTCAACAAAAATAAGAAGATTCAAATAAACCACTTGATCTTTCTAGCAAATCTTTTGACAGCTTCTTGTTGATGGTTAATCATAAATTTCCTGATTAATTGACTTATCCCCGATGGGTGATTAGTACCTCATTAAAAGATATCCTAAATGTTAAAACCAGCACTTTATTCTCATTATTCTCTGTCCTGTTTAATGACTTGTCTCATGGTTACAAGCTAGAACGATTTCAAATGTTTGACTATAATTTATACACGGAAAAAATAGTTCAATCTTGTTTACTTATTTTCTTTTGTTTCATTCACATCTAACAAGCAAGTAAACCCCGATTACAGTCCTATAAGATCTAATTCCCATTGGGTCCTTCTGATGCTATGGGCAGCACAAAAGGAGATAAGCTTCTACTCTTTTCAGAAGAATGTACTTCGTTACTTCGTTCTTCAACATGCACATGGGAAATATTGTCCATAGCGCCAACAACTTACAGTATCATTGCTATTGAGACTTGCATTTCAGCCTTCCAGCTGAAACACAAGATGAGAAGCGATGGGGATTGAACCGGAGACCATCAACTTTTACGATTTAGCACACACACAGTACAGTGGCTACCACCATTCTAAACTGACTAAGCTAAGCTGCTCTCAGGCATTTTTCTCGTTATTCAATTTAGCAATAATAACTCTAGTATAAATCATTTAAGGGTCTTACAGAAAAGATTGAATACTCCTGACCTACAAATCTCTAACAGGAACAATCCAATTCAACATAATTATATTTGATAATTTCTTTTTAGTCTAAAGGCATATAAGAATGAGTGCTGAATGAAAAGTAACATGATACCGTACTACTTGTTGGAGGCTTGCATAGCAATGAGTCAGGGATACAGAATGCTGATAAAAGTTACAGTATATCACAGAGGTATAGTACTGTAGGCCTACTTTAACAATAACTAGGATAGTTTATAAACTTCTATACCTGTGAAACAGATGTTGCAGGTATCATTAAGCCATACAAAAATGACTGAAATTCTGGATTATTAAAAAAAATTTGATTTAACTGAATGCTGAAATTTTGTATGTCATCATCATATACACAAAATAACAGGAATGAATATTGAATATACAAAATAATAACATAAAATAATATGTAGTAATGTACATTTAAAGCAATTTGTTATTAATAAAGATAAGAATTGTTACAGTAGGCCTACAATACAGTACAGTATTAAAATATTTTTATATTTGGAGATGTGAAAATTAGCACCAGTGATTTATGTATAAATTAGTTCTGTATAGGAAACTCTAACTGTTATTGTTAGATAACCAATAGAGGCAAGAAAACCAATTTCATTCCTTCTTAAAATCACAATAGAGTGAATCTGTAAACTTTTTTTCTTTCTTTTTGTGTGAAAGAATGATGTTTGACTGCTGTCAACTATGATATAAGCCTACAGTATATATTCAAGGAATTGTTTCATTTAACTGTTATCGCAATTTACCTGATTAAAAACAGCATTCACTTTGTGTTCAGGATCACAGCTTGTGAACATTATTATGTTAACATAGAGTGAAGATTAGATGACCTTTTTGTATTAAATCCATGAACACTTCACAGTGCTGAGAAGTGAAACAAGGGTGGATTTCGGTTTCTCTTGCATCTACACTCATTACACAGTTTTATCTCTGAGAAGTATTTGACCCCAGCATATATATACATAGGTTCAAGGATCAGTGTTAATATATCTTAGTCAGCCTTTAGGTATATTTGTTGATGTTTGTATTAATCCTTATCAACTAGCGTCATTATTTATGACTGGAGATACTTGGCTTACAAGTCCTGATTCATCTATAGTACATGACGAAAAAAATGTGTAGTCTGCTATAGAACAATATAATAGAAATAACAGCAGCACTTTCTAAGACTTTAAACTTGTACAATTTAATCTCTAGCTTCCATCCACACAGTGGACATATCAGGAGTACAGTACACATTAATTTTTATAAGAAACCAGTAAAATTTTGCCCAGGCTCAGTGTTATTATGATGTTGTTATTTTTTTTGCCAACTTAAGGCTGAACATGTTTTTATTTTGTTCTTATATTTACACACTTTTCAAACATAAAACTTTTATTGTACAGCAGTATATTACTGTACTGTATTATGGAGGGTATTGCATAGTCACACCTGCTGCACATAAGGTACTGAAAGACTTCTATTTATAAAGAAAAAATAAAAACCTCATTTAACGTTTTACATCAACCTAAATTTGTTCTAATTATTTTGTTCTTAATGTTTAAGTAATTTCAGCCTCAGTGTTCTTATAAAAAAAGGTCTATTGAATTAATGAGTCTGTGAAATTGAATAAATTACAAATAATTAGCATTTAAGAATGTTGGAAATATTTTCAATTAAAATGTCTGAAATACAAATGTCTAATTACGCAGTTGGGTTTTAAAAAGGTTTTGATTGAATTAGCTATAATATCAATTTGATATTAAGATGATTACTCAATGAAACCAATATATATGTGGAAGTGAAACTAAGTCATACAATTGAAACTAATCACAGTCTAAGATATCACAATCTTTCAGGACATTTTCCCACCAAATCAATTAAAAATATCTGTCAATTCTTGCAGTTTTTATTACAATGATAAAAATAATATTAAAAGCATTGTCTAAACTGCAAAAATAATTGTTTCTTTAATATTAAAGACAGACCCAATGATCCAAAGAAAAGTAAAATTGTATAAAATATTAAAAAATGCCTATTTCAAGAATCAAAGGCAATATGAATATTTATAAATAAATAAATAACAAAAAACAATAATTATCATAAAGGCCTGATATAATATAACTTATGAATAAAATTGAAATAATATTTATAAAGATCTAGTACTAAAACAAAATCAAAATAATAATTATTAATAATATAACATGCTATTTTTCAATTAACCAAAGTAATTAATAATTTAATGGTATATTATTGATAAATATAGCTAAAATAAAAATGAATAAATAAATACGACACCAAAATTATTTGAAGCATAGAAATACTGGTATATAATAAAAAATACATTATTAAAGAAAGAAAACCTATATTATTTATAGTTAAGTTTTCATGATGTGAAAGGTTCATATACGGCCTGGAAGAACACCACCTTGGTGAATGAGATTTAGTTGTAAAAGAAAGGTATTATATTATTATTATTATTATTATTATTATTATTATTATTATTATTATGATCATGATGATGAAAGTATTTCAAGACACAAACAGCAAAATAACCCATTACTGTGTGTCTTAAAAACATACGGTAATTCACCACTATAGACCATAATAGAAACAAGTCTTGAAAGTTAGTAAGTTCTTGGAACCATATATTTCACACCAACATACTGTAGGACCACATTGGAAATAAGTTTTACTTTTTAAAGAAAACTTTCATGGTCCATCCCTGCATCATCTTTTGTTGTTATTTGTTTGTCCTGCCTTGTGCGAATTTTATATGTTTTGTAAAATATTTTAATGATGCAAAATAAACTGAATTGATACCCCTCCTCCTCCTCCTAAATACTTATAACAAAGTAATGAGGCGACCTCTGCAAAAAGTTGTAGAAGAAAACATTAATACAAGAAATACATAGGACTACATTGCTGTAAATCTGTTTAAAAAAAGGTAGTATTCTTACTTAGACTTACGTACACATGTATTTCCAAAAATATATAATATTTACACACAATATTTATTCAAACAATCTGCATAAATAATGCACCAGACTTATAAAGCACATCACTCCTTTTAAAATGTAGATGACCAGACACAATATTTTAAAAAATCATAATACTATCAATGTAATTGTCTTAATACACAATATCTTTAAACAAGTTATATGAATCATAAAAATCACATAAAAATTAGAAGAAACATGGTTAAAAAAAGCTGAAATTTATCATTAATAATTACTTACCAAATTTCCAAATACAAATTTATTTTAAAGTAGAGAGTAGTACAGATCCAAAGAAATAATATACAGTCCACTGGATGTAAGAAATCCAAAAAGAAAACTTGATTGAAATTGTTTCTTCAATAAATTTCAAAATAAATATCACAGTAGAAAAGTAAGTGTCACACAGCCTGCAGTTTCTTGGTGTTACCTTCACAAGATCTGCTTGTCAATTAAATGCCTAGCACAGTGGGAATCAAGGCAAGCTATGGTACATGAACAAGCATCCAATCAGAAGCGAATATTCTGTGTGTGGGACAGTTGTTGACCAATCACAGACATTGATGATGTCATAGAATCTAACCTTTGTAGAGATCAATATTAGCTAGCATGCTACATGGAGGTATTTCTTAGCAATGACATCTCAAATACAAAGAAAATAAATAAAACTTGGAATTATCCATTTCACAGATTTGGTGACACTTGTTTTATTATTGGGTCTTTTCCATGGTTCTTTTGAAATGATCCAATTTAGTGTTACTAAGCAAGTTAGAGTATCTGGCACTAGTAATAAGTTAGTTCTTGTTGAACAGAAAATTCATTCTTGAGCCAAATATATGTTTTATCATACAGTAATCATTAATGCCAGACTCTGGAAGCCATTTTTGTGTTGATACGTTGTACAACTGATTTTTCTATGACACAACAATTATGTTTGACTCAAAACTTGGAAACAGTAAATAAGATACAGATTTTTGAATATTTAAAAACTGGGCAAAAACGGGTGTAACCACCCATTTTTCCAACTTTTTTCCAATCTGTAACTCATTAGCAGCTCCCGAGTTTTTCGTTACATGCATTTTGTATCTTAGAATAATCAGTTACGCAACATATCAAGACATTTTTGTTCTTCCGGAGCATGACTTCAAGAAAAATAAACAATGTTTACATAATATATTCATTAATCTATCACAGGTGAATATTCTGACTTTCAGTAATTGTAAAATTTCAATTCCATAGGATCAAGGCATTTGCTCAAACTTTTTTAACATGTTAGCAATGGCCATGTACAGCGATACCCTTCAATGCCATCTGATAACAAGAAATTAACACCATCAACATTGGTTTTCGCATCACATCGCCATACAGAAACTATTTTCAAGGTTTATGTGGTTTTCCACATGGACAGATCCACCAACCCACAGTTGTCCCATTTTCTAGACGCGTGTTTAAATGTCTGAGAATTCAGAAACGGAATTTATACTTTGCGGTGATATTTGATCAGAGATTTTCATTTTTGCACTTAGGTTGTCATAATTCTCAACTGTTTATTGAATAAACGACGTCATTTTACTCCCTCTTGCTAAGTACTTGTTGGAAATGTAAGCGCAGCAACTACTTTGCGAGTACAAATTATGACATTACCGTGCTAAATGCTTCCTTGTACAGGTATTTCATCTCGGTAAAAGCATTTACGTATGATTCATAATATTAGTTTTTTTTTAAAGCGATTTTCCTAAATCTTAAAAAAATGTATGCATTGATTTGCGAACACAAATACCTTTTAGGATTAGTGATATGTTAATGTTTGTTGAACATTCGACTAAAGTTATTTATTAGTTTTCTAATGTTCATCTAAAGAAATACGCTCTGTGCACGAAAGTTTGTGTTTAATATTTTTGTAGTGTTGAATGTATATTTTACAGAATAATAAAATTACAGACAGGATAAATATCTCTCAGGAAAAATAGTATGTATTACTATGGTATGATGATATATTGTGTATACATATAGGTCTACTGACATATACAGGTTTTTATATTCATTTACATATTTTATTATTTTATTTTATTTATTTAGGCATTATTTTATTTTATTTATTTAGGCACACAAAACATGCACCAAGAATTGTAAATAGGGAGATTTCCATTGCAAGACGTGGTAGAATCTTTAACTTAATGAAGTCACTAATATTTCATCTGTGCATGCGAGGACGTTAAGTTCTCCTTGTCGTGTGGATTCTAGGGCGTAATTTGATTAAATATACATTGTGCAGAGAACGTAGGATGGTCATGCATGAGTGAATCCGTTCAAATCGAAAAATTCCCTTCATAAGAATATACACATACGATGTTTTACACAAACTAAATCTCAGTATGAGGTGTAGGGAGTGGATTTGTTTTGGTTATATTTCAAATATAATATTTAATCAATCAATCAATCAATCAATCAATCAATCAATTAATCAATCAATCAATGGTCAAGTCCATAAGACAAAAATGCCACAAGTAGGCATGGTACCAGGAGAAATATAGAGCTGCAAGGCTCAGGGCAGTTCATTTTGAGGGTAAGGATCAAATTCACAGATTTTTTTCCCCAACAATTATTACTATCCAACCAATTAAAAACAAGAACATAGAAGAGGGAGGGAGGGGATTGGGGGGAGGGGAGGAAAAAGAGGGGGGAGATAAGGAGCTAAGGGGAAGTGATGGAGGAGGTGATGAGAGGAGAAATTTTTCCAAGGGACCTGGCATATACAGATTTTTACATTAATTTATCTATCTTATTCTTTTTTTTAGTTATATACTTAGGCACACAAATCATGCACCAAGGATTGTCAATAGCTAACACTGTCCTACTTGTAGGTACCCCTTTCAAACATACACGCACAATGTTTTACAAAAACTAAATCTCAATATGAGGTTTAGGGAGTGGAGTGTTTTTGATCTTGAGAAAAAATTCTGTAATATTTCAGATTTAATATTTAGTCAATCAATCAATCATCAATGGTCAAGTCAGTATGTAAAACAAAAATGCCAGATGGTACCTGGAGAAGTATACAGCCACAAGGCTCAGGACAGTTCAATTTGAGGGCAAGCCAAACTAGTAGAAATGCAGTTCACCGGATCAAATTCAAAGATTGTTTTTCCCAGTAATATTACTATCAAATGATGAGGGAAAGGGTGGGAGGGAGATGAGGGGAATTGAGAGAGGAGGGGATGAGCAGAGCAAAAAGTCCCTAGAAAATACTCACACTCCAGTCTCCCTCCAAAAATTATGCTCAATCACCTTTTAGTGAGTTAGCTCCCCTCACCTAATTATTGAGCACCCCCTCTTTACCTTTGCACACCTCTCATTTTAAGACTCCTAGATACTGTACACCCACTGTGTTCCTAGGGAGCTGAGTATGTCTTCCAGAAGTGTTTGATTCAAGGACTAGGATAATATTAATAATACGAAACACATGAAAAACAAGGAAATATACCAAATTACTATTTTAAATACAATGCAAAAAAAGGTATTGAATGCAGGCAAACTTGGTAGATGCCTATAAGCATTTAAAATTTCTTTCTCTTGTACCGGCAATACTCTTTAAACAAATCACATAATATTTCATTCATGAAAGGAATCAAATTAAAATATAACAACAAAAGAGTGCCTGTTTCTTTGGAATTTCTCTCAACTTATCCAAATATTTTCAGGCCCAATTGAGAAGTCAAGCCTAAATGCTCTAGGCTATGTTTGCATCCATTATTACTTGTCAAATAGATTGAATAAGGTCAGGACAATGACTTACTGCCAGGTTTTATAAACATTATATAATAGGATGTAAAAACATGTAAAACATATCACAATGTTGCTTTTTTCGTTAACTATTTGACTTGAAAACAAAACATTTGTTTTGAATTGATGTTTGTTTCTAAAAGTGTTTTTGTGCATGCCAGTTTGTCTTGTACTGTTAGTATGAATAGGCTGGTGGGGGGATTTGTAGATGACACCCCCATGGTGGCAAATTAGTTGCACTACACTTAGAACACATTTTATAAGAACACCGACGGAGGCTGAAATTGCTTAAAAATAAGAACAAAATAAGAACAAATTGAGGCAGAGATAAAATTTCAAATAAAGTTTTGTTTTTTTTAATAGCAAAGCCAACGGTAACTAATCTTATCCATACCTTATATGCAGCAGATGTGACTATGTAATACCCTATAATAATGCAGTAGAGTAATACTGTGTACTGTTGTACAATAATAATTGTCTATCTTTGAAACGTGTGCAAAATAAGAATTAAATAAGAATATTTTGAGCCGGAAATCTGCCAAAAATAAGAACACTGAGCCTGGGCAAAATTTTACTAATTCTTACAAAAAAAAAAGTATAAGTGGAGTTTAAAATACTAAAAATTACTTGTTTTCAAATAGAATAGGGATTTAGTTCCGCGTTCTCTATTTTGGCACCCCACCAGGCTGAAACCAGCACACTTTCCTGGTATCATACTGTATAATGTCCTGCTTGGTTGCTTTGAAGGACAAAGCTTCATGATTATTGAGTGTTTTTGTTGTTTAGTGGGTGTGAAATATCTTCAACTATTTCCATTGCTCAGTTTATCACATCACGTATTGTACTACAATCCACACATAATAAAACAAAACTTTAAAATAACACTCTGGTACTAGGAAGGCACGTTCAATTGGCTCAGTGTGTGCAGGTGTTCCTGACTGAAATACAATACATAGAATACAACAAAAAATATAGGACATTTTTAAAAAGTAAAACAGATCATGTAAGTAATTATATAAATATAGTACTAAAAGAACATTTTCAATATAAAAAATGAAAAATCAACACAAATTGCACAATTTTATCACAAAGTTGTTTTTTTTTATTATAAGGAAAAAATCTAAGAAGCCATCATCAAGATAAAATGAGCCACATAAATTAATAAATTTGATTGCTAGATGATGATAATTAATAGATTTCAATAGTGGATAATGATGATAATTAATAAATCTGTTAGATGATTATAATGATTAATAGATCTGATTGATTGTTTTGATTAATACATCTGATTGATTGTTTATAAGGATTAATAGATCTAATTGGATTATTATAATGATTAATAGATCTGACTGACTCTTTATAAGGATTAATAGATCTGATTAAAATCTGATTGGTTGTTTATAAGGATTTATAGATCTTATTGGCTTGAAAATGACACAATAAATAAGAACTGAATCTACTTTATCCTAACACATTACATCAACTACTTTTATGAATGAACCTGATATGGGTCTTTCATATCTTAAAGTGTTCATAATTTAATGGAGTTTCACTTAAGTTAGATGGATATTGATTTTGTCTCAAATATAATTTGAAAAAATATGAACGATCAATCACATGTTCTCAACCATCTAGCTTCTACACACAAGTTCATAATACTGTACAAAAAAATC